AGAGCAATCAAATACGAAATGCAAAAAACTAAATACAAAAAAAAAAAACAAAATTTATACTAAAAAGTAATGATTTTTTATTATCCATACTCTTTTAATAAATTGTATATAAATTTGAAAAAAATCCTGGCTTTATGAAATTATATTTTACTTATATCCATACGAATGACGAACCTTTGCTAAAGAATGTCTCTTCACAAATTGACGGAACGAATTGTGACGCACGTTTTTCAAAATGCAATTAGCCGGTAATTCGACCTATAAAGAAAAGGTGAAAAAAAAAACCAAACACAAGAAACTCAATATATATACAACTCAAATTTTTATGCAAGTAATTACAAATTTTAGTCAAGACATTAACCGATTTGAAAGCATTTATATTTAATCAAAGAAGATTTCAAGAAGTTGACGGATTTGTATTTTTTTTTTATACCTCCTATCGAAGAATATCGTCATACTACCCGACAATATATATTAGAGGATTTACAAAGCGTATTTTATATATCCTTGATCAGGGAACAGTTTTATATCACTTCAGCCTATCTTATACGATGCCGCGCAGTCGCGAATACACAGACAGTTCGCTGAAGCTTGATGGCGTAATGATAACTCGCAGTTCAAAAGAAGTGCTGGTCTGAAATTTCATACACAACACAAGTACGAGAACATGATCACACTCAAAAATGAAGTCTCGCGGAAAACGCAAAATATTCAGATTAATACAGTGTTACTAGCATAATCATAGTCCCGATTGACCATCATGATCTATCATGTCGACGTTTAAAACAATCGCAGTTACACTTAACGTATGGATTTCAGGTGATGAGTATTAAAAATTTGTCCTAGATCGTATATAACTTTCTTACTTGTTATTTGGTGAATTTGCCGTAGCTATAAGAATGCATGCGAAAGCTTTTTATCAATGCTTAAAGCGTTGTTGAATGCGTTGTTCATTGTAGCGGATGCGTATTAACCATTGAGGCCATAAATAACTTACAGATTTAGCATTAGTGACTTTAACCGGCTCTTCTCCCGGGCATATGATGAAAGACTCATGACCGGGCAGTAAGTGAGCCCTCGTCATGATTGTGTCAATGGTAGAGCTCGAATGAACTGTAGGAATAGAAACTGAATTTGTATGAATTGGCTTATTAGGCACTAGAGTAGAATATAATCGTGGTTGATTGTAATTAGGTCTAAAATTCGAATGATGCGAAATCAAAGCTGGTTCAGCGGATGCAGAAAATTCTACAGTAAAATTTAGAATCATTAACTGCGATAATGACATATCTCATTTACTTACGATTAGCTGTATTTAAAGCTGTTGGTATTGTACTGGGGGGTGAGTAAATAGTTTCCAAAATTGAATCTAGAGAATTTTCCGATGGATGCGGCTCGGCTAGAATTCGAAATATTTATACTTAATAATTTTTCAATTAATTTTCTACATCATTTTACTAACTGTTATCATTGAATTTTGTGCGAGTATATAAAGGCGGTAAATGGGGCTGAACTGACTTTCCCGAAGCTTCATAAGCCTTCGGCGCTGGTTGAACCCAATTTGATATAAACTTGTTCCTTTTAAATTCGGTTTGAGAAGGGACTAAATACACGTAATTCTTGAACAAATTCTTATTAACAATCCAACTTTTCAACTTACGCTTCGTATTCTCGTTTGAGGGGTATGAGTTTGATGTTTCCTTCGTAGCAAAACTGCTAGCCGGAAAATTTGGCGCTAATGTGTGAAAGGAAATCTTGATTAGTTGCTCATATAAAATGAAATTCTTACCGTTCATCGTAATATGTGTTCTTGTTGGTGTATAGGCAGATTCCAAATTAAAATTCAATTGCGTTTCCAAATTAGATGAGTGTTCTTAAAAAAGATTTATAAGTATAATGAAACGTCAGATTATTGACAAATGTGAATAGCTACTTTTTACTGTAATTTTAAACTCGCACTGTGCCACTAGACCATTTTCACTTGTGGCTTCATAAAACACTTTATGCACTCCCACTCCAAAGAGCTCACCGGGTAACTGCAGAAATAAGATATTCAATGAACGCCAAAACGTTTTCAACTAAGTATTTAATCTTACCCGGGACTTATAAACTATCTTAATGCCAGCATCTTTAGATTCAAAACGTGGCTCCTCCCATACCACCGAACGATAGGCTTGATTCTCTCCTAAAGTCACTTCAAATGATGGTGTGCAAAATACAGCTTGAGGGCTTTCAGCATATCTAACATTTATAACAGTTTTGCAACGTGCTCGTCTACCGGTTATAGGGTCGTAACCACGAAATATGACCACATGAATACCTGCCGAGAGATGAGCCTCCAAGTCTCTAGTCCAAGCGGGGGAAGATTGTATGTAACGGTAGTCCATATTTGTAATGGGCTTCTGTAATATAACATGAGTCGTTCGTTCACTGGCATCCAAAAAAACTGTCGTATTTCTCGGGCATTTAATGTATGGGCTGCGTATTCCATGACCGCCACCAATGTTCGTTGTTAAACCAACACCACTAAGAGAACGATTATTAAATGGTGTAGCAATATCATAAGTGGGCACAGTTGGCAATGGCAAAGGTGTGAAACCATTTGTGCTACCCATACGTGTCTCAATTTCCTTTGGCTTACACTCAAAAGGGTCATTATACGACCATTGCATCTGTTGTGTGCACATTGACACTGATTTTCCCACTGGCACATAGCCAGCATTGCACTGCAAACGACAACGTTCTCCCACATATGTGCGACCTGTTGTGCACGAGTGCGGTAGCACAATACCGTGCATAGGTTGAGATAAGGGAGGACAAACTACAGCTAAATGAGATAGAGAAGAATTTACCAAAGCTCCGACAAAACAAAAAATTTATAGAAACATACGCAGACACAAATTTTGATAATCATCCCATTGACCCGAGGCATTACAATAACGTTGACTGGGGCCAACCAGACGATACTTTTGCTTGCACCATATCTTGCAACGAGTGTTGTAAAACAAACGCTGCTTATGACGATACTTAGTGCAATGAATTTCCGCATTCTCTGGCGGCTCAAAAACGGGACATTCGTCACGAAGTTCAATACGCTTTTCACAAGTTTTGCGATCGTCAGCTAAGCGATAACCTGAGGAACATTTGCACTCAAAGCTACCCATATGATTTATGCACTGGCCACCCAAGCATCTGCCATTATTTTCATCACATTCGTCAATATCAACGCAACGTCTTCTATCTTCCAACCTATAGCCAGATGGACATAAGCAATCATACGAACCGTTGATATTAAGGCAACCAAATTCACATATATCAGGTACTAAGCATTCGTTGATATCCACGCATCTAGTGGGATCATCTGGGCTGACTGTGTAACCTGCGGGACATATGGGCAAGCAGGATTCACCAATTCTTTGTTGAACACCATCAGGGCACAAACACTCATAAGAACCCTCTGTGTTAACACATTTAAAATCACATCCGCCGTTTTTATACAAGCATTCATTAATATCATAACATGTTTTACGATCATCTTGCAACGCCCAGCCTGCTGGACAATTACAACCTATTTCAATGCTACAAAAGTGTGAACAGCCACCATTGTTTATTAAACAAGCGGAATTTATACAGCTTTTTCCGTCTTCTGCCAGAGTCGATTCCGATGGGCAAACGCATTCATAGGAACCCATCGTGTTAACACATTTATGGCTGCAGCCATGATCGGTAGTCGAACATTCATCCATATCCAAACAGAGTGAACGATTACTGCTCAAATAGTAGCCATTGGGACAAGTGCACTCGAAACCACCCTCAATGTTTATACATTCATGAGAGCAATCATGTTGCCCCACTAAACATTCATTAACGTCCAAACAACTCCTTTGATCTTCGGCCAATTCATAACCTGACTCGCAGGCACATATGTATGAACCTAAAATATTTATACAAATAACACTACAGTTGTCAAAGTTTTCCGCGCATTCATTAATATCCAAACATGAGTGATTATCTGAAGCCAGTGTGAAACCTCTACGACACGAGCAAGCATAACTAGCAAAGAGATTTTCACAAACATGTTCGCAACTATTATTAGTAAGTAGGCATTCGTCTATATCCAAACAGGTTTTTTCATCCAAGTCCAAGTGCAATCCTTTTGGACAAGAGCACTTGGCATGACCGTCAGTATGGTGACAACTATGTGAGCAACCACCATTCTGCTGAAGGCAAGCATTAAAAAGAATACAAGATCTATTGTTTTCTGTGTTCAGTAGATAACCTGGCGGGCAAGTGCACTCATAACTTCCAGGTAGATTAATGCAAAAATGTGAGCATTGGCCGTTATCTATAGAGCATTCGTCAATGTCTAAGCAAGCGGGTGAATGAGATGAATTTAATGATGAATTATATAATGAGAATAAGTCAGCGTGATCTAAGCTTAAGCCTACAGCGTAACCTGATGGACATATGCATGTGAAAGAACCGTTAAGATTTTCGCATATCATATCCGATAAACAAGTGTGAGCACCCGTAATGCATTCATCGATATCAAAGCAATAGTTTTTTAAAGGTTCATCTAGAAAATCGAATCCTTGGTGACACGAACAATTAAACCCACCTGCGAAATTTGTGCACAAGTGATGGCAGCCGCCATTTCCCTCTTCACACTCGTCAATGTCTACACAAGTTTTACCAGTATCATCTAATCTAAAGCCTTGATAGCAGGAACACATTCCGTGTTCATCAGAGTTACAAATATGTTCGCAGTCATTATTATTTATCGAACAAAGATCCAAACCAATACAATTTTGCCCTAAGTTTTCTAACGTCATATTTTCCGGGCAAGTGCATACAAATGTTTGTCCATCTGATATACATCCATGTGAACAAGGATGGTTAACGCAAGGATCTTCGACGGCTGATTCACACAGGCCAGTATTCTCGTCAGGCTCGGAACCGTCGTAACACACACATTTAAAAGTTCCTGGATAGTTAACACATTGCAAACTGCCACAAATTTCGTTCTGCACTTGACATTCATCAATGTCTTCGCATTCATTAGTACTGCTCTCTCTAAACTTGAAACCTTCAGGACACAAACAACGGTAGTCGCCTTCAATGTTGACACACTCGTGAGAGCATTTGTGACTTTCCTCTCTGCATTCATCGATGTCGATGCAGCTATGATTGTTTTGTACATATCCAATAGGACATATGCAGTTAAAGCTCGTTTCATTTTCGGTAGGCTGACAAGTACCAGGAGAACAACGTTCATTACCATGACTATGGGAACAAATATCATCAATTTCGGAACAAGTAAAACCATCTTCGGATAATTTGTAACCTTCAGCACATAAACACTCGTATGAACCATCCAAGAGATCATTGCAATCATGCGAGCACTGAGTTTTATTTAAATCATGACTGTTTAAATCTTCGCATCTATCCAGCACGCATGTGCGCAAGTCTTCAAATAAATGATATTTAGGGGGACAATAGCATACAAAACCGCCAATTGTATTTTCACAGTAATGTGAACATAGCCTAGAAGGAACTTCGTTTTCATTGTATTCCACTACAATAGAGCACTCGTCAATGTCCAAACAGGTTCTATTGTCAACAGCTAAATAAAAACCGGGAGAACAAGAGCATTGGAAACCACCATCCGTATTAAGGCAAATCTCGCAGTCGTGAGTCATTTCTGAACATTCATCAACGTCCACACAGTGGCCGTTAAGAGCCCGATATCCCGCCGCACATTCCAAAGTTGCGACTGGTGAAGTGCTTTCGGATATTTTTGTATAAACTTCCGTACGGATTAAATCGTTTTCTTCAGCAGAATGGGAATTAATAGCAATACAATGGTACGAACCAGGTGTATTTTCGCAGCCTGCTGTACATTCTACAGACTTTTCGGGATCTTCGCATTCATTGATATCTAAAACGAAAGCAAAAAAGATGAAAGCTAATGAAAACTTATGCGCAAATTCCTCATAATAGAAACCATTGCTCAAATGAAACTAACGGCCACCTTATTAAAACCTCTTACACCATGCCCCCCATAGAATTTAAGAATATCTTAATCAATGATTTTTTAGTCGTTTCCTCCACCAATTAAATTACATAATGTGTTTCGCAACGTGGCCTTAACTTACAAACAAACCTTCACAATTTTTCCCATCATCCATCATGCGATAACCCAACGGACATACACAAAACACACGTCCTAATGATAACGACAGACATGTATGCGAACAACCACCATTGTTAGGTTGAGAGCATTTGCCAGCATCTACACATGTGTGATTGTTTGCCGATAATTGCGTGCCGGGCAAATTGTCACAAGAACACCTGTAACCGGGCTGATGATTATGGCAAGTATCGTGACAAGGACCGTGACCGTTACGCAGAAGGCACTCATTAATGTCTGGCGTTATTGACATTGTGAAATTTTTGTTGTAGTTGTAACAAAAGCGAAGCAAAAAAATTTTAAGCAAGCATTAAAGGATCGACGCTGATAGCGATAAGTGAGGTCATAACAGAGCTTACCAATGCATGTAGTGCCAGTAAAAGTATCAAGTTGATAGCCGGGCTCACAAGTGCATTGAAAAGAACCAGGTAAATTTTCACAAACTTGTTCACAGCCACCATTGCCAAGAAGACATTCATTTATATCTGAAAACGAGAAAAATAAGAGAAAATTTAAAAATTCGATTGCTTTTATTTGAAAAGCGCACACCATGACAGGTGGAATAATCGTAGGGATCCAAGCTAAACCCTTCATGACAAGAACACCGCAATCTAGGCTCATTTTCACCAGGGTATAACAATCGTTCACACATTTGACTGCAACCACCTTTATTAGCACCGCATTCCTCGTCTAGAATTCGAGGTGTGTAAGGATCTTGCGTGGGCTCCACTACTATATTCGCTTCTGTTGAGACTTCGGTTAAATCTCCCTCTACTTTATGGCCATCTTCAGAACTGGAAGAAGGCGGCGACTCATTAGGTGGTTCACGAATAACCGGCCTAGGCGTTTTTTCTCGAACAACACCGTCATCTTCACCATCGTCTTCATCGCCATTATCATAATCACCATATTCTACTCAAGAGAAAAAAATCTCTATCAATTTCCAATATTGCGAATCGCATTTTTATTTACCTTCTTCATCTTCTTCTTCGACATATTCGCCCAATGATATGCAAACCGGTAGCTCGCCAACCCATTTGCGATCGCTACAATATAATGTATTAATTTCACTATCTTCGAGCTCAAAATGCTCATTGCAAGAGTACGAAGCTACGAGAAAAACATTGTCGCCTCTACGTCTTCTGTCATATTTTTGAACGTAGCCATGTCGAATCTCAGGTGCTTTCACTTTAGCCTGAACGCAAGACATATCCAACGTAGCAACCAAATCTGCAGATACCGAACGATCTTCAACTATATCAGATTGTTTTCGCTTCTTATTCGCGTTTTCCGCATTCATTTCATTAGAATCACTTTGTCGTATACATTCCGGTATTTCGGTAATCCATTCATCTGTATCCAAATCACATACTACTTCAGACGGTCCCTTTAATTCGTAACCCGACAAACAAGTATAAATAGCACGTATAGCTGTCTCTTCGTCTTCGATACGGATGTTCGCATAATTAACGCTAGGTGGTCTCTCACAGTCTTCATAACGCGCCGCAATCACTGTCGTAAACAATATTTAACAAAAATAAAAATTTTGTTAGATCTTTAAGAAATCTCCCACCTACGTGCCGCTATGCATATATAAATGATGTCAATAAATTTTTCTTTTAATAGGTTTTTTAATATCTCAGCTATCGTGACGAAAAGAAAAAACATCGACATTCACGACTGATTGTCCTCATATATTTTTTTAAAACTAGATAGCCGACATATAGAATACAAGAAAGCAAAACGAATTCGTCACCCTAATGCTGTCCACAGCCAAAATAATTAATCATTTACTTCCGAAATTCGGCCGAAAACAAGTAATAAAAGTTTACTCATCTGTTAGAGCCAATATTCTATACGATCTGCTTGAAATCGTTATATAAAAACTACAGAATATTTTTCCATCTTTCTGCAAATATGCCGGAAGATTAAGATTGCGTTTACAGTAAAGTTTTATAAGACGTTATTTAACATTTGTACATATTCTTGGATTCATATGCGCTGTTGGTAAGTAGGAACGAATCGCATCTACTTTTACACTTTTTCTCTACTCATCAATTAGGCAGACTGCACACCATGTCAGTAAAGCATCAGGTCCGAGTTTTTTATTACAATCCATGATCGGATGTGATAGAACGTGATAGAACGAATGAACTTTAATTAAAAATCGTTACAATTGTTTCGCTAAGGGAGCAATTGCACGTCTTGCGAGAAAAATCTAATAGACATGTACGTACAACGTAACATTCCCAATCCAATAAAGCATTGAAATACGAGCAAATACTACAGCTGTTGCTAATGACTTCAATTAATGCGAACAGCTGATTGTTAAGCTTTAGGTCACATAACTGGCAACGAAAATCGAGTTATTAAATACGAATTTCGATAAGCAAGAGTCTTCAATCAATATCTAATAGATTGATTTTCTCGAATTCAGTCAAATTCATTAATTTATTTATATTCGTCTTTATATTTATTTGTATCGGATATTATAGATTCATTCAGAGGGCATATATGAGGAATACTCGGATAATATGAGGAAAACTTACCGGAAATTAATGACAAAGTCAACAACAAATGATAACCGTATCCCATTTTTTTCTATGGAATAATTATTTACTTGAGGAAAGGGATCGTTTAAAAATTTCATGAGAAATATTTTCTGCAAAAAAAAAAAAGTTTTAATATATTTAAATATAGTTTAAAAAAAATATTTTTTCTACTTTTTATACATTTTACATTTCTATTAAATTTCATTACACAATCGAATTTTTTTTAAATTTTTCTCAAAATTTTAAAACTTCTTTTTAATAAATAATTTCAAAGCTGAATGTAGTTAAAAGAAATTAAAAATTTTTATTCGTCATATCTATTTTGAAACTTTAATTCTGTTTTTAATTATTTCACTCATTATTACTCCATTTTCACTTAGGTTTTCTTTCGGCTCCTATTCTTTTCTTTTTCATATTACCTGAACAACTTGACTTTACAAGAGTCACGATCCGACTGAGAATGGATGGATTTCTCACAGAGCTAAGGATCATAGAAAGCGACATCATCACTGGAATGAAACGAAAAATCATGAATAACGAACAAAAGTCATCATTTATTCATGCGTTTATATGTGTTTTAAAATCATAAGTTTCTTCATCGTGACGATATTTCCGCCAAAAACAACAAAAATCTTAGGGCGGTAGGAAATTGTTAAAGATTCATAAGTTTTTCACTTTTCTATTTTTTTTTTTTTAATGTTTTTTCTTTTTTTGTATTTTTTTATCACTACATTAGCCAAACAACAGCACAACAACAATGCACTTCATATATATATACATACATATTTAGGCATCATATTTATATGTAGAACGGTTGTGCAGTGTGCGTTGACTCTGAAAGATCGGCGTTTGTTTATTTTGCCATATGACAAAATGCTATTTTTGTTTGTCACAGTCATAGGAGCGAGCATACATAGAATTACAATAAACATAATTCACTTTAAAGCGAATAGTGAGTGCCTACCAATAGTAAACAATCTGATTTCTGCTATATACAATTATTACAATAATTTGAGAGCTAATATTAAAAATTATTACAAAACCTTCAAATATGTAAGAAACTATTTCAACGATTCCGATTTAATTGAAAAAATCATATATTGTTGCAATTCTTTTTTGCTTTATTAACTAATGGACCTCGTTAACCCCCGAAATCCATAGATTGTCGTTATGAAAGCAATTTACCGAAATATTTCATAATTAATTATGAGCAGATAAGCGCGATTATAGAGATAGTTACTTATAAATAACACAACTAAATATGATTCATAGATTTTCGAAGTTGTGAGACCGTTACGAATGTAACGATTCATTTTGCATGCCTCTATTTCATCAGTTATCGAGATAAAACTGCGATATATATGATACATAGGTACATAAAGAAAGTGTTTCATTTGGTATGAAAATAAGAAGATATTCACATACACCATGACGTTCAAACTAACACCTTTACATTTATATACGGCAATCGTAAATGAAGTGTTGCTTTTAGAGTTTCATGAGAAGAAAAGCATAAAAAAAATTCCAAAATGAAAACGAGAAATAGAAAATATGATGACAGCCTGATGCTTAGTTTATGACAATCAGCCTATGTAATTTAAATATATACACATTCGCTTAACACAATGAATCACATTGTAGTTTATATGTATAAATATGTTGGAAAGGTGATTTTTTTAACATTATTTTCGTAGAAGTTTAAATACGAAAATCGAAATTTAAAATATTTGTACAACAACCTTACAATTGACCTCAATCTAATTGAATAGTGTATCGCAATAATAGCTGGAAAAGTAAAATAAAAGTAAGTGAAAATAACCATTTTCCGCTACATTAAACAGAAGCAATTAATCAGCGTACAAATGCCTAGAAGAAAACGTTAAAACACTTTTGTTTCTACAATTATAATATATGTGACAATATAAGCAAATTTTGCTATAAACTCCCAACTTTTTAGCACATTGTTATAAGAGTAGAGCACAAATAACAAGTTGAGTCGTCGAATCTCATTACTCTGAAATTTACTCTTTCAATAAATTGACGTATTTGAAATTATATCATTCTTAGTTTCGATAGTAAGATTCGGTTTTCATCTTAAATTACATTATCGTTTCTATTAAATGCAACAACAAACTCTCTCAGGTTATTTCATGTAATATTTGAATTAAATGATAGAGGGAAAATATCAATTTCATTCATATTCCTATGTAAACGTCAGCTTGCAATACCAGTTGCCTTTACATCATTTATGCTTTTATGCAAGCGTTTGCCTGCAAATGTCCATAAGAAAGCAAAAAGTGAGCAAAATAGGTGCACAATTTCCAATCCGGTGAGTAAAAGAACAGAACTGCTGATCATACTCAATCGATTTTGAACCTGTATGAAGCCAAATTGCATGGATTATTAAGCAAAGTGATAAGAACGCAATACATACGCAAAATTCAGTTACACACTTGTAGATACCAAGCCACCAACGATAAGAAAGGGGTATGTCTAAACTAAAACCATCGTTTTCTTAGACCGGATCTACGATCAATCTATAAGCTTCCGGTCTGAAAAATATATGGCCATATGATTTCTGGATAGTACCTATCTTCAAACGATTGGTGTCAAAATTTGATGACATTCTGATAATTAAATTACAGATTGTGATGGTCTTAGTGATTCCAGTTTTGCAATTTTTAACACAAAAGAAAAAATCGTTGCTCTTTTGTAAGGGAGAACGCCGCTCACAATCGGAATTGGGCTGAGAGATGTTTTAGCGGCTCTTGACTGTCAAAAAAATAGATTTTTAGGGGGACTGCCAATTTGAAGCACAATCATATGGAATCCGATAATACCAAACGCTCTGATCGCCCGAATTCACCACTTGCTCCAGAAAACGTGAAAAACATAAAAAACATATTGGGATGCGCATGTTATAATATTCATGGACTATTTCAAAATAAAAACAAATGCATTATAAGTGCGTTTGAAAGACGAGATTGCAGTAAAACGTCAAGTTTGACCTGAGAGTTATTGAATGCTGACAAATTTCGAACAAAATTCGTCTACACACTACATTCAATAAGCTTGAAAAATAAGAAAAGCAGGCTTTGTTCTTTAGTATACGAAAAACTTCAGACACAGCCCCTGGCTTACGATCAGACATTTGTCATACTTGCACTATCAGATGTTCTATTTCACAAAATGGAAAGCAAATTGTTACGATACAGATAACTAAAAAAATTCTTAAATTTCGACAGCAGCCTGTCTACTTCGTTTGCCAAATTCAATTCAACAATATTAGCTGTAATATATATATACATATATATATATATAGAGCATTTATATGGATGAGTAATGGAGGCAATGAGCATTTCCTACTCAACCCTTTGAATTCGGATTTGATACTGTAGTCTTTTTCCAGTAAGTAAGGAAAAGTTTATTGAAAACCTTATCCAATCACTCTAAGAATCTAACGACATGTTGTAAAAGCAATATATAGTCTTTAGCGAAACTGTTGGAAAGACAGCGATTTTTGTTTTCGAAATGAATCGCTAATATTTACTTCACCAAGAATTAGGGGATCGAAAAAAGCATGCCTCTCATGAAAAAAGCACCTCTATGGGTCAACTGTAAAACTTTTTTTTTTTTGTCTATGCGGAACGCAACGTTAATTTTATAATATTATAAATAAAACATTTATTTTTCATTGAAGCGACAAAAAAGTTTGGATAAACATAATAATTTTGGTTATTGTACGTAAATAAAGCTTCAACATCGTGCACTATTTACTCTTTTTACAAAGAGAGAAAAAAAAATAGAAAATTTACTATTTTTCTTTTTGGTCTCGTTCAGAATATTAACCATAAAGCAAGAATCATCAAAAAAAAAAAAAAAAAAAAACACACGCTAACGCCTTCATCCATAACACAAGCCGACAGTAAATTACCATCAATAAAATAGCAATTACTTAAAAAACTAACGTCAGTAGCTCAAACTCAAACAACTCAAATTATAACTGATTCGAAAGCATCCGATTGCTAAGATTACTTAAAGCGCATCTTTGAATGGATTGCGCTGTCAAGAAGAAATTACAAAACAATGCGAATTTAATTTATGCGAATTTGTTCGCAATTATATGTAGGTGTGGATGCCTGCATTCCATAGATATTAACAATGTTCAGATATTTAATCTAATTTTTTTTTTTGCCTCATCTTTTGACTTATTTGGTATGCGACATTGTAAATGGGCATAAAGAGAAATTTTTTACTCTCACATCAGTAATCGAATATTTATCGAATCAAAAGCAATAACAAGTACGAAAGTTATATTCATTTGTGGCGAATTTTAAATACCTGTCATCACAAATCATGGGCTAATCATCTTTTATTCTCTCTCTTATATTGAGTAAAGAAAAGAATAATAATAATAATAATAATAATAATAATAATAATAATAATAATAATAATATATCTAAAGACGAAAATATAATTTCATAGTAATTATACGAAAGTACAATTTTTAATTAAAATTTCCCCCTAATTGTATAGATGGGTCTTACAAACGCAATGACAAGGCTAGTATATTCGTAACTTTTGAATAGTAGATGAAAATACAACTCTTTAAAAATAATTAAACAATTTACGGTTGACTAAACAACTTAATTAATTTCTGTATTTATTTATTTATTTATTTAAGTTCTTTTTTTTAAAATAATTTAAGTTTTTTACAAGGAAAGAAACTTTAAACGCCTCACACATTAAATACTGCAACTGACCAGTAATATATGATTGTATATATGTATACATGTGTATGCTATACATACAAAATAATAGCAGCAAAATAAATTATAATACATACGATTAAATATATATCATACGCTTTTATGGCTAATCTCGTTTGAGCTTTGTGCTGCTTACAAGCTTGTTACATTTTCTCCTTAAGAGTGTAGAGATTCTAACATTTTAGCAGGTGTCACATCGATCGATTCATAGTAGATTACAACTTTGTTTCCGGGATTTGTTCATATTCTTCAGCTTTTTCGATTTTCTCTTTCAGTTTTTCTGCATTTCTCCATAAGAATTGTCAGAATTTCAGAATGAAGAAGAAATGCGTCCATCTTGACTTTAAGAATTTTACATTGATCAAGAATATACACTATATACACATATACCTTTTATAGATATACTTTTTATATACCTCTTTTTGTAGAACCTCTGTTGCGTACTTCTATTATATAATCTACTATCTATTATTGATTAAAACAGTAAAGTGAGAAGAAATAGATCGCTTAAGGACATGTATAAATAAATTTATTTCAAAAATGAAGACAAAATTTGGACATTGTTGTGAAAGATATTTCCATAAGGATTAAAAGTTGAATACGTTCAAGCATTGCTGTAAGAATCTAAGTATTGTTACATTTTAAGCTTGGCCAGGGCAGAAACTTCACTGAATTTAGAATCTCTTAAGATTATTCTAAAAATGTTCCTAACGACTGGTACGATATTTGGGAAAATAAAATTGCAAATATATTTGAATCCATGTTCACGTTTGTTTTACCCTCAAAGGGATGGGATAATGAACCGGTTAATTTAGATTAATTTCTTACCATGAATTACTTTTTGCATTACGAATTTCATATATCACTACCTATTCTAACTTTAATTACAAAAACTTCAATTCGTAACTTGGTGAAGTTTAAGACGACTTATGTTATGCTGGGGATAACCAAGTTATTAACGCTAGATCAAACTCGTCGAATATAAATTGATACAGCTAAGAATAACATTATACTTCGTATTACGTTTTTAATTAATCGTTAATACGCAAATCATCGGCAAACTGGAAGAAACTTAATAATAAATATTCTTTTTTGCTTATAAGGTGGGACAGAGATTATATTTCGTAAGATCTCCGTAAGGTAAATTGCAACCACTCCCTTTATTTAATATTATATTACTAATAATATTACTATTAATTTCGGCATAGAATGAATACGAAGACTAAAGTCTTAAAGCACTAGCATCTAAAGGCTTTCGACTTTATTAAAAACTCTACCGCGCTTGAGATTTGAACCCACGACCGCTGAGTTGCTGGCCGAGACTTTTGCTTACTCGGCCACTCAGGCGGGTTTGTTTTATAATCTGTGTATTAAGATCGGTGAAAAAAAATTTGAAAAGAATAAGTGAAAACACTGTTGTAGCACACGGCCCATCATTAATTACCCTACACCAATTCGCTTAATACCCATATCCAATTTTTAAAAATAAGGCCTTATATGAGAAGTGGTCGAAAAAATGGTCGATTCCGAAGCATTTTCCGTGGTTCAAAACATCTGCATATACAAAATTTCATCAAAATTTCTCAAAAATTGCGACTTGTAAGTTGAATACAAGAAATGCAACAAATAAGAAAGCGAACGAACGGACAAATGGGCAAACGGACAGACAAGTTTATATGCATTGAGAAAATGATTCTGAATAGATTGGTCTGATTAATCTATCTCAAGTTCTTTTGGACGTTTGCGATCAGCTGTCTATAACTGAATACATCCTTATATCACAAGTGGTGTAGAGTACTAAAATTCTATAAGAGTCATCCTTTTCTTTTTTTTTTTTTTTTTTTTTTTGATTAAATTTCTGACATTAGTACTGCCAAGTTCGTGTCATATAAGTAGCCTAAATTGAATAATTTTCTTCTTTTTTTGTTTAATTAAATTTTTTTTTTTTATTAATCTTGTTGCTGATCGCTTTAATCTCTTTTCCACTTAACTGAATGAAGAAGAGGTGTAAGGAAATTATAAAACTAAAGTCCCGTAAAAATCTTTCATCCGCATAGATATTTCCTAATTTAATTCAGAGAGAAAAAGAGAGTGAGAAAAAACATAAAATAAATTTTTCTTCTATGTTTTCTTTTTACTTTTATTTTAAATGAAAGGGGTAAACTTTGATTAATTAACAAGTTTTAAATAAAATTTTGTGCGCAAAACTTAAACTATGAAAATTTTAAAACTAATTAAAAAAGACAAAAACATATCTATTGGCAATAATCGCAGTGTTGGTAAGTAATTAATAGTAAATAAAATACACGTATGTTTCACGTTCTCGTTCGTTCGAAAATTCATAGAAAAACAAAAAAAAACAAAAGGAAAAGAAAAATGAAAGTCTTTCTTTTTGGTTTTTAGTAGAAAAAACAAAATAAACTATATACATATTTAACGACTTAGAAATGGCAACGTAGTTTGTCGCACATAAACACTGCGTTCCGTATTCGAAGATGGAGGACATTTGACTGTTAAAACTCCATCCGATGACAATTCAGCCCGTACATCGTTGGGATAATAGCCACGCGGTAAAACGAAACGTTTCACTATATGACGGCCAACATAGTTATCGCCGTCACGCCTTTTTTCATGTTTCGCTTCTACTATCACAGTGTCGCCACAAGTTTTGACAGCAATTTCATACGGTTTGAATGGGCCAACATCCACATTGGCTTCAAAACCATCTTTCCCCACGATAACGCGACTCAAATCGGGAGCAGAGCCGATACGTTGCAGACGTCGCCAATAGGGCACATCCCAGTCCATTAAATCCCAATCGCGCCATAAACGTCGGCGATAATCCCAATAATCCCAATCGGTTACGGCGCCTCCACCAGATGAGGGTACCAGAGCCATAATATAATCTAAACAATTTTTGAAAAGTTTTTTAATGAAACCACGAGTAATTTATTTATTTCTTACATTATTTGTTTTTTCTTATTATTATTTTTTTATTTTTTTTTTTTTTTTGTATTATCTTATTATTTAATTGAATTTGTTTTTTTTTTTTTTTTTTTTTTTTGTTTTATTTTATTATTTAATTTAATTTGTTTTTTTTTTTTTTCTTTTTTTTTCTTTTTTTTAAGTATAAAAATTAAAACGCGTTTTGCTTTAATGCTTTTCAATGAGTTTCGCCAGCGCTTTTTAACAAATAAACTGCCAGCTTGTTGCACATGGTCTTTTTATAGAACTTACGCCCAATGAAAGCACGAACGCGTTAGGTATTAACTAGAAAGTATAGAAAAATTATAAAGTGTGCGCGCACCCTAACTGGAATTAGTTTAAAACCGAAAGCCCGGTTCACGAAACATTCGCTAGCACTGTGTAGGCTCCTATTATGACCTTATTAAAATTATATTATATATATGTACATATATAAATAATAACAATTATGCACTTCCAGTATATTTATTGCGTTGTACGAAAAAAAAATATTCTTAAGAAAATAAAATGTTTATAAAATCAAAAAGAAAATATTAAAAAATAAAAAAAAATTACTTTCTTTAATTATTTGTAATAATAGTGTAGTTTTATTTATATTCGTTTAATTTACTTATTTCGCAAGTTTCGCAAAAGCGACTTAACATTTCTATTCTCGGTTAAAGACGCAGCCTTTCGCCCAAACTTTGAATCATCATAAGACTTCGTACTAATCAATGGGTCTGTGAATTGATTTCACGATCCGATGCATTAGTAGACAAGTAAGCTTAAAATCTATATAGAAAATCTATATAAATTAAAATATTTATAACAGAATTGCGCTCGATTTGGAGCAATAAATGTAACACTGAACTCGTATTTAATTATTTTTGTATCCTTTATCGCCGAAGTTATATATGAGTAAACGGAGATTACAAACGCATATAGTAGAGTTTACCAATCAGTTTTGATAGTTATGCATGGGATTTATATGACGTGCACACTTTTTTTTGGTTTTAAATATGGCTGAACCCTTTCTCCCTAAATGACTTTTGTATTAAAATGATTAAGAAATGAAGATCCAACCATGCTGAATTAATATAGTATCCGTTTTTATTTATTTGCTCATTAACTTTTTTTTTCTAATATAATTGCACATCATTTTGCCGCTTTTTTTATTTATTTATATGTATACATATTTATATATATATATATATATATATATATATATTAGTTTGGGGAAAAAGAAATCCATTATTTTTATATGAACTTCAGGACTTTATTTAACATGCTTCGGATTGTCCGATTTGGGTCAAATATGCACAGTTTTGTTGTACGATTTGTTGCCATTTTAAAGGTAACTCCAAAATGCCTCTCTCATACAAGTCCTGCTCTCTATTTGCAAAAAACTCTAGTAGTCGATTTTCACAATCGTCCCTAGA